TCCCAGTGTGTGTCAGGGTATCCCGGTGTGTGTCACCGTGTCCCAGTGTCAGGAGATGTGCAGCCACCTCTCTCCATGCACAGCCAGCCCTCCAAGGCTCCCTCAGCCCTCAAGCCGTGCCCACACCCTGCTGCCCCCAGCCCGAGGGTGTCCAAGTGCCCCGAGGCACCAGCCCAGCACGGAGCTGTCTGCTTTGGTGTCTCTCCTGCCTCGTGATAAATGAGAGTCTATTCTTTTCTGCTATGTGGTTTGATCTTAATTTCCTGTATGAAGTTCTCGAGAGAATGCCAAGATCAAATAATTAGACTGTTGTGCGATAAAGAGTTAACATTGTTATTCAAATGTATTCAGAATTCATTTACCACCAAACAATTTACACTGCCGCCCTCCTATCCTGCTGAAATTACCAGAATGTGTTATCTGACACACAAAGCGTCTCGTGACCTGAAATAACTTTATCAACCATGAAATGCCTGAGCAGTGGGTGCACGGTCACAGAAATGCCCAGGGGAATGCAGGAGAAGCTACAAAGGCAATAAATGATTTAAAACCACCCTGGTGCCATCTCCTGCCAGCCTCCCCAGAGAACACTGGCCACTCTGGTCACCAGGCACGACCTGAGCAGAAAAACCCTGGAGCTGCCTTGCTGAGGACTCCCACTCCAGCATTCATGTCCCCCATGGCTGTGCAGCTCCCAGCCCTTGGGCGCTGCCTTTTCAGCCTGGAAAAGCCTGTTTCTGCTTTATTTTTAAAAATACAACTTCATTTGCAGAGTGTGGGAAGGTGGTTTCAAAATAAAATTCCTGACAGGCATAATAAGCCTCAGAAAAGCCAATCACAGAGAGCAGGATAATTATCCACAGAATTTGTTTTCTATGTATTTGTGTAAATAATCAATGATATTTTTCTCACACGGATTCCAATTTGATTGTATTTTCTGTGTTACTTGCAAATCATACAAACAATCAATGCTCTGACCCCTTCTCTATGCAAACACAGCTTAGAGAGACACTACAAGAAATAAAATCCGATAAATTCCTCACGCAGGGTTGTTTGTTTAAAAGCTTTGCTGGAGACTGATCCTGCTCACAGCGACTTCAGAGATACAGGAGTGGGACTGTCAGACATGCTTGAGGTGGGATTATTGCCACAAATATCAGCAGGAATAGAACCTCAGTGAAAAACCTGGCACAAAAGTGAGGACCCAGATGTGGAGGCGATGCCTTTTAAAATGCAGCAAGGAAAATGAACCCATTCCCTGGCCTGGCACACTCCTCCTGCAGAGGGGCACACAGCTGGGGCTGGGCTGACCCAGGGGTGGGCTGGGACCCTGCCTGTCCCCTTGCCCACAGAGGGGGCACATCAGGGGCGTTCCTGGCAGGAGTGGGGTGGCCAAGGGCAATGATGGCAGCAGGGCAGCGTGGTGTCACCTTCTCAGCAGCACCTGAGTGCAAGCCCACTCAGGACCCCCCAAATCCAGCTCCTGTTGCCTGCCCAGTGCCAGGGGTCTGTTCTTGACAATTTACTGATCCCATCCCATTGGCATTCGATCCGCACGTGTGTGTCACTGACACACCATCCCTCAAAAGAGCCACTCAGAGGAATTCCTGATGATGCTTCAGCAAAGCAGAAGGCTGGAATAGGTCTGCTGGAGGCACCAGTCCTCCTCCAGCTGCGCTGCCCATCCCAGCCATCCCGCCCTGCTTTGTTAGGGACGGTGCCACCAGCTCTACAAAATGGCATCAGGCTCTGTCTGTGCGTTTAATCTCCTTTTTAATCCGAGTGTAGGTTAGCCAAATGGGCTCTCCACGGCCCCATAACACCTCGCTGGCACTCCTTTGAGCTGCGATGTTGCAAACGCTCAGCAGCTCGTGGTACCAGGTGTGATGTGCCGGAGCTCAGCCGCAGTGAGGGCGGGCAGCAGCGCAGGATCCCTCAGGGGGGTGAGCACGGGCAGCTCCTCACAGCAGCACCCTCCTCTGCCTCTGCTCCAGGGAACTCGGAGCTGAATTGAGCACTCGGGTGGTGTTTTCTGATACGGCTTTTTCAAATATTTAACAGATTGCGTAATAACCGAGCAGCTGTTGAATAAGCTTCAGATACCAACTCCTGCTTTAAAAAGCGCATCCTGTAACAAGGCACAGATTTTCTTTGTACGAGTGCATGTATAGATTATGTTTAGATGTGTAGATTAAATATTTATATTTTACTGGTGGGAGAAAGAGCGCTTTTGGCTTTTTCTTCCATTTCTTAGATATCTCTCCCTGTATTTATTTTAATAGTCAGCTTCACAGGGAAAAAAGAGAGCTTTGAGAAGTTACCTGCTTTCTCTCTGGTTTGATTTTCAGTGCTAAACCAATAGTTACTTAAGTGTTCTGCACTTCTAGGCATAACCTAATAATTAAAATAATTACTTGAAAGCCAGGGAAGCTTTGCACAAATTAATGCAGGGCAAGAAGCTGCAGTTTTTCAGTGGGCTGAAAAAGAGGTCACAAAATGATGCCAGTTTTAGCTGAGAGAGAAGGTAAACACAGATCTCCCTGCAGCCCTGATTAAAGCCTTTTTCTAATCTTTTAAGTTTCTTACTTTGCTGATCAAGAAGGTGGCTCGATGAGGGGCTGACTGTTGTGGAATTTCTCAGCAGGTAAAGCGAGACCGTTCCTGTGGAAGGCACGGCAGTGCTGGCAGTGGCACAGCTGTGCTCCTCCAGCGGGCAACCCTACCTCCCTTCTTGCCTGCCTGCCTCCATCCCTCCATCCCTGCCTCCATCCCTCCATCCCTGCCTCCATCCCTCCATCCCTGCCTCCATCCCTGCCTCCATCTCTCTCTCCTTGCCTCCATCTCTCCCTCCCTGCCTCCATCCCTGCCTACCTGCCTCCATCCCTCCCTCCTGGCCTCCATCCCTCCCTCCCTGCCCGGTGAAAGGGAGCAGAGCTGCAGGAGACCCAAGCGCTTTCGTGGAGGGCTGGCAGCAATCTCTGCATTGAAATCTCCTCTGTCCTTTTGTGCAATTGCTTTGAGCCTAGAAAATCCATTTTCAGGACAACTGAGGCACTGAGAGTCGAGACTAAACATCTCCACAGAGCCCCCAGGGATACTCCTGAGCCTGAATATCCCCCATGAGCCAGCCGAGCGTTCCCTGGAGTCTCAGCAGCCGCCAGCCCCAGCGGCCTCAGCCCGCTCCCCGCGAGCATCTGCCACAGCTGCAGCTGCCCCTCGCCGCCTCCTCGGAGCGCCAGCCTGGCAGCAGCCGGCTCTGGCCACCAAGAATCAGGCCCGCCGCTGCCAAGCCCAAAGCAGGAGGAGCTGCCAGCCCGGCAGCCCAGCTGCCACAGCCCCCGCACACGGCTGTGGGTCCCGAAGGCGATCTGAGCCCTGGGACCTGCCGGGGAGGGGAAACTCCGCCACAGCACTGCGGTGCTCGCTGGGGACAGGCTGGTGACACACGGGGGGGCTCTCCCAGCAGGACACCTCCTCCCCGCTCCTGCAGTGGGACTGGCGAAGCCCAGCGCGCCCTGTGAGCAGCGACGGAGCTTTCCTGGGAGCGGGTTTGTGTGGCACAAAACATTTCCAGCTGTTCCAGGCGGAGGCTGAGCATACTAAACAGCTTGGCTCTGGTGAAAGTTCAGCAGCCGCCAGGGCCCCAGGCCCGGAGGCAGATCCATTAACCTTTTCCACCAATATTTCTGGCACCACAATGTGCACGGGATAACATCTGCCTGGAGTGCCCCATTCACGGAAGTCTGGGGGAGACCAGATGCTCACCCTGCAGGAATCAAGCCCTTGTCCATGAGATGATCTGGGCCATGCAGACACTTCAAGCCGTGCTGGAGGTGACAGTGTTTCACTTCAAAAAGCACCTATCCCTCAGGAGCAGCATTTTTCTCTTTCTGGCTTTCACATTGCTGCTGTGCAGTTGCACTGGCATAAGTAAGAACCTTTTTTTTTTTTTTTTTTTTTTTTTTTTTTTCCCCAGCTAAAATTATTCACAAATCTATTCCGTTTTCACTGGTTTTTCTGAGTTAAAATTTGAACCGTCAAAAGGCAGGTAAACCTATCCTTGTAATTTTTAGTGGGCAGACAGCAAATCCCTGGGAATGTGTACCAATGGTAAAGTGCATGGGATGTAACAGAAATCAGCGCCGTTCTTTACATGACATGATTAAAACAAGTATCTCGTTTAATTAGAAAAAGAAAGATCGCAGACTCATTCCCAGGATGTTATCTGTGCAATTACTTTATGTAACATTATTAAAAATTAATTTTCCCCAGAACCTCAGCAATTTAATGAAACACGCCTGGTCCTCAGCAGCAGCTGCAGCGGAGCCAGCCCACTGGCATCCTCCAGGCAGCGGGACTCGGTGCCGCGGGCCCCCCGGGCTGTCTGTCCCTTGTTCTGGGCACATCCAGCCCTGGGTCAAAGCACGCCTGCACAACACCCTATTGCCGCAGGCTCAACAGCCTTCCTCGCACCGGGTACCGCAGCCCTCCTCGTCACAAGCTCCGCATCCCCCCTCTCCGGGGGCTCGGCATCCCCCATCTCTGTGAACAAAAATCCTCCTTCTCCAGGGAATCAGCATCCCCCCTTTCCGGGTGCTCGGCATCCCCCGTTTTGGGGGCTCAGCATCCTCCCTCTCCAGAGGCAAAGCATTCTTCCTTTCCGGGAGCAAAGCGTCCCCCTTCCCCGGGGAATCAGCACCCCACTCTCCAGAGGGACAGCACTCTCCTCTCCTTTTCGCAAGGTGCCCAGCACCCCCCTCGCACCTCGCCCGGGGCGGCTGCTCGCACCGAGAGCGCTGCCCGCTCCGTTCCGGGACACAGCCCCCGCCTCGCCGCGCCGCCCCGGCACCGGCCAGGGCATCCTTCACCGGGGGAACCTCTGCCCCGGCATCGGACAGCGCATCCCGCAGCCCCGGGTACCGCATTCCCCGCCGCGGCCCCGGGCAGTGCTCTCTCCGCCCCGGCCCCGAAGTTCTCCCTCCACCGCCGCCGGCCCTTACCGATCCGGATGACATGCGGCATCCCGTGCGAGCTCTGTCCCCAGAAGCCGCCGACCAGGAGCGCTGCCCAGTATTCCCAGAGGACGCGGCGAAGCGCCGGCCAGAGATGGGGCATCGTTGGGGAGGTCGCGGGCCGGCGCGGCCCTACGGCCCCAGGGCCAGCGGGGACGCGGGCGGCTGCTGCCCGGGGCTCAGGCGGAGCGGCCGCTCGGCGCCGGGGCCGGGCGGCTCATGGCACATCTTAGAGCGGCCGCGCTGGCCCGTCCCGCGGCAGCCACAGCTCCGGCCGCTCCTTTCCGCGCCGTGCCGAGCCGAGCCGAGCCGGGCCGTTCCGAGCCGTGCGGTGCCGGTGCCGGTCGGGCGGCACCTGCGGAGCCGGGGCTGCCGGTGCGCCCCAGGAGCGGCTCTGTCCCCTCCTACCGCTGATGCGCGGCTCGCGCAAAGCCCCGGAGTGGAGCGTGCACACACCGACACACTCACACCCCCTGACACACACCCCCGACACACACACACACCCCGGCACACACCCGACACACACCCGACACGCTGACACACCGCTGACACCCCGGGACCCGCCCGCTCCCCCGGGGTGAGGGCAGCGCCGGCGGCGGGCGTGGGGCGGGATGCCAAGGGGACCCTCGGCGAGCACCGCGGGGCGGGGGGAGATGGCGAAAGGGCCCCGGGGGTCCCGGCAGCGTCTCTGTTCCCTCTGCCCCCGACGGAGCCCTGTCACGCAGATCGCGGGGTGGCCGGTGTCCCCCAAGCGCTCGGGGGTCACTTATGACCCCGGGGTCCCCGTGTCCTCGCCGGCGGGCGCCGGGAGAGGCCGGGCAGGGGGTTTGGGGCTGGGGCCGGTGTCCCGGGGGCGGGAGGGGCCGGGGCCGCTGCAGCAGGGTTACCGCGGCGGGCGCCCGGCCCGCGCTCCGCAGCCGGGAGTTTAATGACCTCGGTGACAGAGACAAAGGGCTGCCCGTGCAGCGGACCGGGAGCTGCTTTGTCAACGTGCTGGGCCAGGCTAGGGTGAATTTCTTTTTTCCTCATTTAAATAATTTGATCTATTCCATCATTTCCAATCGTTCCCATTTGCCAGCTGTCTGCTAACTCCAGCCTGGAACAGCTGAAGAGCAAATCTTTAATTTTCTTACAAACATACTATTACTCTGTATCGGCTCATCCTTTTAATTTTCCTTGCCAGCAGCAAGCTCGGCATCCTGAAATGCTGATCGCCGTCCTGCACTCTGCTCCAGAGCCCCATCCCGGAGCAGCCTCCGGGAGCCGGGGTGTGTGGACTGGAGGAGGAACACTGCAAGTCATTATTGATCTACAGCTCAAAGAGAAGTTGCTGCGTGTCGCCTCTGCCAGCAAACAGCGAGTGCGGGACCGCTGCGGGGAGGTGGACAGGCGGGGGACTCCCTGCGTGCCCACTGCAGTGGTTCCTGGCTCTGGCTGATGGTACAGCAGCAGCAGTGGGGGATTGGCCGGGGAGTGTGACAGCCGTCATCAGCACGGGATCATAAGGAAAAGCTGGAAGAGTCTCTGGCTACACGGCCGGGGCAGGACCAGCCCCTCCCGGGGATGTTGCGGTGCCTCCCTGGGCCGTGGTGTGGCCGGTGCCTCGCTGGGAAGGTGCAGCTGAGCATGGCCTGGGGTCTCAGCACTGTGTCGTGGTGGAGGGCACGTCTTACTCCTTCCTCTTCCTCGTCTTACTCCTTCCTCTTCCTCGTCTTACTCCTTCCTCAGCCCCGAGGCAGAGGGGCTGCTCGGCCTCCTCCAGGCGCTGCCACAAGCTCGGTCTCGGAGGAGGGGGATTGTTGGTGTTGACTGTGGGCAGGGCCGAGGCTCCAGCTCCCAGCCCGAACCTCCCTGCCTGTGCTAAGACGGTTACAGAAAAGACTGGCTCGTGTTAAGGATATTTTTATCCCTCCTGACACCAACACGGATAAGATTTAGCAAAAGGGCATGGAAGAAAATTTCTTTAAATACTGCTTAAGTGAAGGACAGCTGTTTCTGTGAACTTGTTATAAAATTAAATGTCACAACCTGGTGACTCTTTGCACCTGCAGATAAAAAAGCCCCACAAAGCTATTGGGAGGGAGCAGGTAAAAAGGGCTGTTTCGGGGGTGGCTGTTCTTTGCTCTTTGCAGACTCCAGCACATGGAGTAGAGGTTTGATTTTGTGGAGTGTTTAAATTAAACTGTAGCTGGGAGGAAATATTCTATTAGTTTGGAATGCTGCTTCCTGCCTTTCTGTCAGTACCAGGCACTGATAAGGCTCCAACCTCAGCTTCAGCCTCTGGATCCTACTGCAGAGCAGCACAAATAGTTTATTTTGTATTAAATCATTTGATTAGTGGCAGATGGGTGTGTGGAGGTCATGGACAGTCCTCATCTCCTGCACGTAGGTCAGAGAGGGCAGGACAGGAACAGCCCTGTACCAGAAATTACCACAGCAGTCGAGCTTGGGCACAGGCAGAGGAACACTCCAGGGCTACTCATGGGCTTTCATGACTTCTCCTTCCCAAAGCAACCTGAGGTGTTCAGCAGAGCAGCTCACATGGCTGTGTCTCCCTCCCTTTGCATTCCCACATCCCCACACTCTCCCCAGCTTACCATGGCTGTGTCTCCCTCTGTATTCCCACATCCCCACACCGTCCCTAACCCACCATGACTGTGTCTCCCTCCCTTTGTGTTCCCACACTGTCCCTAACCCGTCCCTCTCGTGTCACTTGGCAGTGCTCCTCTCTCTGGGCAGTACCCAGGGCATCCCAGGGCTGCTCTGTGCCAGGATTACAGAGAGGGCATTTTGGAAACTTCTCTCAGGTGTTGCACCATTGCTGCTTGGGGGTTTTTTTGCCCTATAAAAGACTCAATTTCACCTGCTGCCCATGGAGGGGCTGCAGACCTGTGAGCAATGACCTTCAGCTGCCAGGCCAGACTTCTCCTGGAGCCAGAGCCAGGTTGTGATGGACAATTACAGCACAGGCAGGATGGCTGGACAGAAGAAGGAAGAACCTGGAAGGCTGATAGAGCTCCTCATGAGCCCAGAGCTCTGGCTCAGTGCTGCTTCCCAGGTGAGTGCTGCCCAGTGGGATGCTGGCCTGGGGAGCAGGATTTACACCAGTCAGGACTTCCTTCAGGAATCTTTGGCTGTGCCTTGAGGACAATCAAAGGTAGCAGAAGGGCTTTGGCTTTGGATGACTTGTTACAGCGATGCTAAAAATACAACATCTTTGCCCAGTTCATAAGTGCTGTGAAAATAGCTTTAATGTGGTAATTCATCATTTAAGAGTGTATCAATTAATGCAAACTTTGGTATATTTATAACTTGTGAACATAGTGTACCAGTGAGGAGAAGTTGATTTGTTATTTTGAGTTTGTTGAGAGATATTTGGATGTTATTTTTTCATACTGCTGTTTTTACAATGAATATTTGTGGTATTTAGAGCTCCAGGTATTACACAAGTCAGATTTGAAATTGTGTACATCTTATGGGGGTTTTATAGACATAAAAAATTCAGTCCTCTCACCTACAAATAAAGCTGTACGTTTATGGGTGTTCTCAAGACACTGATTTAAGACTTCTTATTTTTGAATATGAAAGGGAACCACTTGCAAAAGTGGAAAATAGTGTTGAGATTATTAATATCTAGAGGAAAATGCCGATTGACAAAATACATTTTCAAATCAGACTAATGCTTTAGAGCAGCAGCAGAACTATGAACCTGGCAGAAAGAGACATGAGCATTTCTATAGCTATAGCATTTTTCAATACTAATGAAGAAAAAGAGGCTTCTCTTTATTTCTGTAATGGTATCTAAACTGGTTCGTTGGAATTAGCTCCATCCACATGTGTTTGTTTAGATTTATATGCATCAGGTCTAATAGAACCACAATCAATCTGAGTTATGAGGCTCAGCGCTCGCATTACCGAGATTCATGTGCCGAAGTCGGCTCCTAAAACATCAGAGAGGGAATATACCTGGGAAACGTGGATTTCTGGGACTTGAGTGCCCTCTACTGAAACCGTCCCGGCTCCGGCCCTTCGCTCTGACACCCGCAGCTTGATTGATGGCTCGCTAAATTGAATTGAAGCCCGCGGTTCACAGATCCATTATGAAGGATCCCTCCTTTCCTTCCTCCCCGCACTCCAACTCTCCGGTTCATTTTGGCTCCTGCAGCTGTGCCACGGCAGGTTTGCTGGTTTAAATGGCAAGTTTCGATACTGTGAGGAGGATTCCTTTGGGTGTAGCCATCCGGGAGCTGTGCTGGCATTGAGGAGCGCTGAGGCTGAGCTGGGCTGGGCACGGCAGTGCCGCAGGAGAAGCTGGGTTTGCCCGAGGAGTTTGGGTCTGCTCGGTGCCTCTTCTGGGAGAGGCTTTAACTCCGTGCCAGCAGCCGGGATGAGGTGACGCTGCCACCCACGCTCCAGCAGCTCCTGCAAAAGCAAACCCCAGCCATCCGCATTCGCCTCACTGCAATTTGTGTTGCATCTTGCTTGTTGTGGGGCGTAGGGAAGAGGGGAAAATTCCCACTTCTTTACTCGGCATTCCATCTGGAAGGGAGAGGCATTGTGTTCGTGCCTTGCCTGCAGCAGGGTTTGTGTGCTTGGGATGGAGGCAGGTGGGGCCGGGGCAGAGGGGAGTGCTGCCAACTCGTGTGCTGTGCTGCTGGGCAGCTGATTCCAAAGTGGGGTGGTTTCCCGCTTAGGTTTTTGTGAGGTTTATTCTCTAATAAATTCCCGTGGTGAAGGTGTGGCTGCTCTGTCCGGGGTAGGAAATGTGAGGTTTCTGCAGTCTGTGCGCTGCTCGCGGAATTGTTGCTTCGCTACACTGCATATATTTGTGTTGGAACATACCGTGGTATAATAGCTGGTTTGAAATGTATCCAGTTCTGCTGAATACATTATTGTGAAAGTCAGGAGAACGCGCTGGGAGAACGCGAGCTCCTGTCAAACCCAGAGCAGCGACGCCCCACAGAAGCTGGGAGAGTGGGAAAGGGCTGGGAGCAGTGCTGCGCTCTCTCCTTGGCTGGGCTGCCTGCCGGAGCTCAGAGCAGAGCCCCGCTGGGGCCCGTGTGCCTGAGCACATCAAAGGGCGCTCTCGGTGCTCTCAGATGCGGCTGGCATCACCCCTGCCGTGCAAATCCCACCCCGCAGCAGCGGGAGCCGGGACCT